GAGACAAGACAGAGACAGAGACAGAGGACAGAGACAGAGACGAGCAGAGACAGCAGAGACAGAGAGAGACAGAGAGAGAGAGAGAGAGAGAGAGAGAGAGGAGAGAGAGAGAGAGAGAGGGAGGAGAGAGAGAGAGAGGAGAGAGAGAGAGAGAGAGAGGAAAGAGAGAGAGAGAGAGAGAGAGAGAGAGAGGGAGGGACGGAGGGAGAGATCAGTCCATAAACATCGACCTTAGACAGTAAATGAGCCGTGAAGAGCGGTGGCGGAAACGGTGGCGGCAAATTCAGCATTGAGCATTCAGCAAATTCAGCATTCAGCTGCTTTTCGGCCGGGACAGAACAGCGCTGATGCCCAAATAATGGACTCCATCGCATCTAATTCTGTTACATTTTTTTACAGTTTTAGTAAATGTAAATTAGCACGAAAACGCTGTAGAAGCTCACGTTTATTTTACGTAGACAATAGCCTATAAATGCCTAATGATTAAATAATAAAATATTATTGTCATAATAACAGACAAGGTAATGAAGATTTGAGCTCCGGTTGATGTATGCATTATGCAGCTTAGCTTTAAATGAATGTACACCTATAACATTTGCATTTTACATACGAATGCATACCTATCTGTAAACGGCCGACGACCGTTTAATCTTTTACAGGACGCTCAGCCCAGTGAATGCTATGCATATTACGGTCCGAAAATTATCTCCTCGGCGCCAACTGCCCCTATAATAAACCACTCACAGCACGTCCCATCCGCCGCACAATCCGAGCTGCGCCATGACACGGCGTCGTCCGTGCACTGCACAATGCCTGTGCACAATGCTGGTGCACTATGGCGTGCACAATGCATTGCGCAGGTACGGCGCAGGGTGCACAATCAATGGTGGTTATTTTCAGTGGACAGCTAACGATGACCATCTGTGGCCCGCTGAATGGCAGGCAGGTAGATACCACTGAATGGGTGTCATCCGAGGGGGGGGGCTCAACGGGACTGCAGATGGGAGGGGGAGACAGCTCTGCAGGTGTTGTAACTTGTAGGTGCTTCACTGCAGACAGCGATTCGAGACAGATGCAGAAGATAAGGATGTCTGGTGGGGTGAGTTTAGGAGTTGCTGGCCTCAGAGCGCATCGCGACCCGCACATGACAGATGAGAGGTGCAAAGTTTCGCTGATAGCAGTCGTTGCAATGCCGTGATGCTATAGGGCTGTACAAATGCAGATTGAAGTGTTTCACTGTCAGGATAAGTGTTACATGAACGGAGCATTGCTGTAAAGTCGGTCATGCGGAAAGGTACATTCGGTAGGTATGTGCGTTACATCGTGCTGAATCCTCGCGCTAATAAATCCGATCATGCACAAAGACCACGCTCCCATGACCTTTAATTAATAACATGGTGTGTCGCCATCGTTGATGAAACCGTTTAGGTTGATTATTGCTATAAAACACCTACATTATTGACAATGCATAGGACGACGCTACTCCCTTCCACTGCCCATCTCCTTTAGCCTTTGGAAATCACCACTTGCGTCACAAATTAAAGCCGAATAGGTGGACCCTATTACTGATTTGAGTGTCTCATACCGTTCGCTCCCCAAATCTGTTGTCCAGTATTGGCTGTTAATGGCCGTCTGCACCCAAATCGTGTTATCGTTCATATCACGATCGATAACAAGACGTGGGCCGACGACGAGTGTGTCTATAGGACGGCATATATATGTACAGATTGGAAGTTCCTATCGGGGAGGGTGGGAGGGGACCATTTTCCACAGCCTGTCGCTTGGTTTCCACCCTTCTGCACTGTCCTCCGCCTCTGAGCTCGCGTCCTGGACTGCCTGACCTGTTTTGCGGCAGATCCCTCCCTCCCCGTGTGTACATACTGTGTGTGCCTTATCTCGCCTCGGCCGCGGCCCGGTCCCCTCCCCGTCCCTGGACCCGGCCCGTCAAACCGCGCGCCACGACTCGGGTCTCCTCCCACCCCTCTGCCCCTCCCTCCCTCCTCGTGCTGGCCATCCTCCGCTCACTCTATTCGAGCCCCAAATCAAGCTACTGCCTACTGCTTAGTTGATATCCTTCCAAGCTTACGTCACCCCTTTCTCATTATTCGCTCCATTTTTTTGGCGAGACAAACGTCACATTCCTCTCTCTAACGAAGCTATAGGGACCGAGTAGCACCCATAACATCGCCCGCTGAAACCCCCAATGACGTCAGAGGTGACGTCAAACGGGACTGACCGGCTCGGGGGGCACTCACCGTCGGTGCTTCTCAAACTGATATCGTCACTGGGCACTCACCGTCGGTGGTTCTCAAACTGACGGCGTCGCTGGGCGGGCCGTCACCAGTGCTGTTGTAGCCTTTCACGCGGCACTTGTAGCGTGTGTTGAAGTGAAGTCCGGTGATGAGACAGTGCGCCTCTCGCCCGCAGTAGGCATCCTGTCGAAACAGGGACGAATCGTGGTCACTGGTCAGGGCCCGTACCTCAGTGCACAGACCGATGTTCGGTTACCTACAACTTGCGTAGCTTTTCATCACAATCGTTCTCGAGATAACGAGAAAATGTTCGAATGAAATGCTACACCTAATACGAAATAGCACCAGCATCCTTCTGAACTTTTGGTTTATAGAGACAAGCAATAACCACAGCGAAAACAGGAGCGATTACAACATACAGGGTGTTTCACTAAAAGTGTCAAAAAGTAAATGCTTATTAAAGATATATAGAATATGCAAATCACGTGGCTGCGCACGTGGCTTTGTTGCAAATTTTTGGACATTTATTATTTATCCATTTAAGATATATTTTACACTCATACGGAGCGAGGGCAGGAGGCCAAAGTTACTAGTCATTTTTTCCTTATGCAGAACAGGAACAGTTACTTACACCGCAACAGGAGGGGTGAATTACACTTATGTACATTTGGTGCCATCAGAAACATTGAAACCGTATGCCGACTTTTCAGGAAACTTTTTACTCTCTCACCTCGCTACGTTCCAGATTATAAAAGTTTCAAAGGGCTTGTTGAGAGGTTTAAAAGGGTTCCTTCGATGCCGGTTCCAGTCCAAAAAATGCGGGGTTGCCCCCACCTCTCGGCGGAAACCGTTGAGAAGGTCAGGGTCTTTTTGAGGGCCTTTGAAGATAACAAGAAGCTAATTCCAACATCAGAAATAGCCAGGGCCTTACAAGTTATTCAAATCAACCACTGTAACGGCTGTAGCCACCAGGAACTGACTGGACCAGAAGCTCCTGGACCGAATAATCAGCTGCCTCGCCGCCCGCCCCTGGCCAGCGCGAAGCCTCGATCTGTCACCGCTAAGCCTCTGGTTTGGTCAGTGACTCAGTAGCTCTCGCAGAGCTGAGGAAGACTCAAGTCGCATCACTTCGGGAGCTGAAGAGCACAATTCAAGGCTTTGCCGACAGTCTGGACGCTGAAGATGAAAACGGGCTGTGAGGCACCCCCGGACACGTGCCGAAACGGTGCATCAAAAGAAGGGGCAGATGTGTGGAATAGGTTTGAGTGACGGTGATATCGTTTTTATATATTCAAATGTCCAACAATTGCGGATAAAATGATATGCAAATTTCCTTAGAAAACATTGTTATTATGTGCATTATGACCTTTTACTTTTTGACATTTTTAGTGAAACACCCTGTAGGATGCCGCTTTTGTTGGAGTTTCCAAGCAGTTCCCATGTCGAATGAAAAAGAGGACAGAACTAATGCATTAGCTACGAGTTAGTAGAGATCCCGAGACTGTGTCCAGTGTTGGTCTATTTGCCACCAACAATCAACTGAACTTCCCAAGGAGATGTCAAACAGATATTTCGCAATAAGTGAATAGAAAAGATAGAGTCGATTCGTATTAGACACTGGACAGTGGCCAGGTGTATCTCAGTGTACACATTTTCCCAACAAGCCTGTCGGGTGACATATGTTCTTTGGACATCCGGCTCAGCAGTAGGTACATTACAAGATGTGGCTGCATATAAAAAACGCACTGTCTGGAGAAACAGTATTTCAGTGGCCGTTCTGCCGATCACAGCGCGATTCTTTCGCCGCCCGCCGGCTATCACCTGTGTTGGACATGTTTGAGCGGTACCAAACATCCGAGAACTCACATTAACCGCTGCAGCACCGCCTGTACAACATGTTACTGGTCCGGCTCGTCTGTCCATGGGACAGGGGGAGTGGGTTGTAGAGTGGGATGGGGGAGGGGTAACAACCCGTGCAGCCCGGCAGCTGGTCAGCGGTGTGGTCTCTGGTAACACGGGACGATAAAGCCAGCAGAGGATTACACCGCAGCTGCCGCACAGTAGCGACCACACCAGATGCCTGGCGATTGTCGGCTATCGAAATCGATCAGCACGCCCGAAATACTGAGTCAATAGCCGCAGAAGCTATTGGCTGTTATGTAATCAATCTGCTGAAGTGGCCGAACGCGCCGGGTGGCCGCCAGAAATCACCGCCGTCGCAAGGTCGGACTGGGTATGGACAGAGGCCTGTGAGGGCTAGGCAAAGAGGCGGCCATGTTTCTTTCGGTGCAAGAGGGGAGAAGGGCGCTGGCCGCTCATCAACGCACGCCGGAATTTAGCGCCGCCGTAATTTTCTGCCCGGAATCTCTGAAACGTTGCGGGGGCGATTCTCGCCCTCGTCGGCGCCGACGGCAGGAAATGGCGGCCGAAATCGCCGACTGAAACGACCCTCGGCACGGGAGCGGGCCGCACGAGCGGCAGCCCCGCGCGGCTGGAGGGGCGCTCTGGATAAGGCTGGAGAGCGGACCTTCAGGGATGGGAGACGGGGGTGAAATGGGAGAGACGGAAAGCAGATAGAGGAAAAAAACGACCCAGTGCGGAACTTTCACCGGGCTCGGAAAAGAGGGAGAGGATGCTAAATGGAAAGGCAAAGCGAAGATACGTGCAGATGAAATATGCAAATTATGGAAGAGGGGGCGCGCTTGCTACAAATAGAACCGAGATTGTGGATGTTTTGTTACTTCGTAAACTTACAAACCATCCATTTCAGCACGAGATAGGCGAGTAAGAACCCATTAAACAAATCATTTCAGACACACCACCGCCCCGCGAGCTCGAGTAAAGCTCATCCCGAGCGGAAGAAAATACGGCGGTGATTTTCGAGCCGGTTACGTTTCCTCCCGAGGGGACTGGGCTTTGTTCACACCAGGTCTGTGCGCTGCAGTGGCACGGCGGAACGGAGCGCTATAAACACCGGCGCTGCTGGCGTGCCCCATCTGTCCTCGGAAACAAACAGTTTACTCGAGCCGCCACAGGAGCGAACGGTGGGAAGACGAAGCGACGGTAGGTTCATATAGTCACTGCGTCGGTACCCTACATTGCTAGAGGCCTTCCTACTCAGTGTGACTCACATATATATACACAGATGAGCCAACAGGGGCCGGCATTTGGTCAGTTGGCAGCCAGAGTGGCTCTGAAGTACGGCTATATACGCATATGCCGTATCCTATATGCAATATGCGACATTTGAAACGCGATTCTGAGAGCTAGATAATCATTTTTGGACCGCACTCGAATTGTTCAAGCATTACATACCAGCACGGATGTTGGACAGTTTCAAATTTCAATGGCCACCGTGCTGTGCCATTTCAATTCAACCTTCTTCTTTTTTCCCCGTCTTCCGCGTCCGTATAAACACTATCGTGATCTCTGGCTCACGAACTGCAGCTACACTATGCACGCTTGTCCTCCTCACGTGCCCTCACGTCCTCCAGACATCCCCTCACGTCTCCCACACGCTCCTCACGCACGTCGCCCACGCACTGACAGCCTCACAGTCCACCGTGCGTCGATCACAGGTCACCTGCGTGGGCCGTGTCACGCCCCCACTGAGTGACAACGGACCATCGCCGTCAGGCTCCCTGACGAGCAGGGATCATTAGTTGAGGATTGTCCCAGGGCAACAGGTCAGCGGAGCTCTGTTGCTTTGTGTGGGTCGTGTCGGACCGGTAGCAGGCGATTCATTCATCAAGAGGTGCTGGAGAGGTGTGGGTCGAGAGGGGAGGAAAGGAGGGAGGAGGAGGGAGGGGGTTGTGAGTGGGTGGTGCGTGATGAATGAATTATATCATACTCTCAGAAGGATTTGGACGGGTGACGTGACTTCGTTTCTCGAGCCTCCCACAAAGAGGAGTTAAGACAATGGAAGATGTCAAAGTTTGGCTCGGATGCCAAGTCCCCGAATGGACCGCGGCAGTTCTATTAAACCGGTGACGTCATCGAATTCACAATGAGGGCCGCCGGTGATATGGAGCTCCGAATCCCCGGGCTGAATGCTAGTTGGTGGCCGAGCGCAGTCCAATATACCGATCTGCCATGGGCGGCAAGTTACGCGATTTCGGCCCGCGATCCCAGCCAAACCAATGTGACCCCAGTCGGACCCAATTCTACCAACTCGCCGTTTCAGCTATTCGGCAAAAGTCGGCCCGGTCGCTACTCGCGAGGCCCGACCGCGCTCCTCGACGGCGGCGGCTATATGGGACGCTCGCCGACGGCCAGAGTTGATGGCCATCCCGCCGCTGACCGACGGCGACACAGCGGTGCTGACCGGTGGCCACTGTTCTCTGGCGGCGCAGATAACAGCAGTCTGACCGTGTCGCCGCGGAGGGATGGAGGTGGGAGAGTGAGGCTGCCGTACGGCACCTAACTAATGACACCGCTGACCGAGGGCGGTTAGCGTCGTGCAGAAAGGAGCGGTCGCAGCACAGCAGCACTCATCGATCAGAATCGGCCGAGTTTTTCGTGTCGGACACCGAGGTCAGGTGTGACAGCAGCCTGCAGAACATGTTCGCTGGAGCCGCGACGAGGCGGATTTTTATTTAGTAAACGACGAGCGTGATGGCGACAGAGCTGCAACCAGTTTGCTGTGTGAGCTACCTGTGCAACCGACGACTACGGCTCATGCCCTCATAACTCATCAGGGCTCAGCGAAAACCCGTAGGTGTATGGTAAGCTTGCCCTTTGTCCAAAAGCCACCGATTCAAAAATAGGATCACCAATGTGGTTCTCAGTTGTATGGGTGCAGTGCCGTGCACCTCTAAAACTGAGAACACTTCCACTACTCCTTCAGATGAAATTTGCCAAACTAAAACGGAATGAAGTGAAAAGTGGCCTAAACTATTTAAGTTGATCTACCGGAGTAGCCCAAGATTTATAACATTGCCGAGGACACGCACTCGCGAATTTACGACGTTCCACCTTTCCGCTCCGTTTCTATCAAGAATTCATTGTTTGGCCGCGGGGTCTTCTCTGTCTTTGTCTGAGGCCTTTGTTCCATTGAGAGGCCGATGAATGGCCTGGTCCACTACCGTGTCCCAGTTACACAAACGACGAAAGGAGCGAGCACAAATGGCCGCAGCCGAATCAATTAGACACGCATACACGCACACCGGCACACAGACACACAAACACACTCACAGACGGCGGGACCGTCACATAACTATTCACCAGCGTGCGCACATCGCTCATCATCCAACGCTGGACGCTGCTGCAGCAATCTTTAAAAATGCGTGAAACAGCTGCCATAATGCACATTTCCTACTGCCGACACACGTAAGTGTGTTTTGTGATGTGCGTCGCCCAGGTAACCAGCGAAATTGGCCATAACATTCCAGCGTCGTCGTTCCGTCATCGACATCGACGGAGATATCGACCTACAGTGCCCCCGGGACTGTCGGGGTCACCGAGGGGACACCCGTCGACCCGAGGTCACCGTGGGTATTCGAGGTCAAATCTCGGTCGGTAAGAATTCCCCGCCCGAGGACAACAGTCGAGTGGAGCTGACAAGAGTTGTGATTGTGGAGAAAACCATGTTGGGAAACAGGGTTTCGTGGAGCATTGTCGCCCGATGGCTGATCAATGATCATATCTAATAAGACGGTATTCACTGGTAAGTCAGAGTGACAAATGAGGATAGCGAAATATAACATGACCAACCGAAATATAACATGCAAATAAAGCAAGCACATAGAGGAACACACTTGACTTTTAGTCATTCTGAAGCTTACATACACTCTAAACATATAATATACACGCTTATATACACGCTAAGCCCATCACTCACCTGAAACCCCACGCCGTCGTTGAGCTGCACGATGAAGCCGTCGTGGTGGGAGGTGGGGTGGGGCCGCCACCGGAGTCGCAGGCGGTTGTTTTCCGCGGTACACTCCTCAGCTAGGAGCGTCGGCGGACCCGGCGCTGTAGGTCACAGCAGGGGGTCACACTGGGGTCACAGCAGGGGTCACACTGGGGTCACGGCAGGGGCAGACTGTCAATTTGAGTCAAGTTTGAGTCGACTCATATTTTCATTGAACCGCTTGAGTCATGAGTCGAGTCAAGGGAAAAAATCAGCTCCTTGTTTGAGTCAGAGTTGAGTCAAGGCTTTCTGAAGTTGAATGATGAGTCGAGTCGCCAAGTTTTTTTTTAGTCGAGCACAACCCTGTATTTAAGCCATGCACCGAGGAGATTCAACGCACAAACAATCGACGAGAGGCATCCACATGCAAGGCATCAACTATTGAGCTTAACAGCAGAATGACCTATGCTTTTATTCAGATTTCAGAATGACACGAAAGATAATTTCTGCATTCGTGGATTTCCGAAAAGCACCTTCTGTTTTAAATGCATGCTAAGGGCTCAGCGTTGCAGCCAGACAAAACGAACTGAAGTAAATCCAGCCATTCACGACTAATCTAAAATAATCACCGTCTTTATATTACACGGAGTGGCACAATCGCACACTTCAATGAATCATTCGCAAAGCGTTTAATTTCTGGAGTAATATCGCCATCTAAAATGATATTTGAAAACGTCGGCATGGATGGGATCATCTTATGAAACACTCGACTCCTGAAATAGCTAACATTTTGGTAGAAATGAATCGTTTAATTCAGCATAATAAGTCATGCATGGATTCCAGACCAATCTAAGGCAGACATCAATAAGTTTCGGCATGCTCTAATTTCATAATAAAACTAAGTACTTTAGAATGTATATGAGGTATGGTACCCTAAATAAACTAAAATATGGAACTCAGAATCATGAAAGATCGGTGATAACGACATTGCCATAAACTCGAGTCTTATTAGCATTGCTTGTCATGCACTTGCCATTCATTGTTTGCTTCGACCGTTCGTTTCATGTTCGGACAAAAATAGCATATTTTATTGGTACTCCGGCGTGAATTTGTTTTGTAGCATGCTTATTAAGGATTGGAAGTGAGCATTGGTATTTTGACGCGGTGGAAGCGGACACAAACACAGCGGTAGCAGGAACAAACACATAGCATTCTCCGCGACGGACATGGGATGACAAGTTACCTGCCGGCTGTCGTTTTTCTCCCGGTTTGCAGGCTACGGGAGACAGGAAAGGATATTTTTAACAACTCCTTATCAGAATAGCTACCTGACATCGCGAAACATTACCCAATTTAATGTAGCACAGGGCAGAGGGAAGGCACGCGTTGCAGAGGTGGGGAGGAAGGCAAAAGGAGCAATGCCGACCAGCGCCAGCGGACGGCGATAGTGACGGTGCATTTATGTGAGCGGTTAGCACGTGTCGGCAATGCCCTCCAGAAACATCTCCCCTTCTCCCCCCTTCCTTCCTTTCTCTCAACACTTTTCAATGGAAGATTTTGTACACCATATGACACTTTTTCAACGTGAATAAGCAATGCATTGTCAAAAGTCAAGGGGTGGTTTTTGATTAAATGAATAATCAGAACCATGAGGTCGAAGAGACGTAGTCGAAGACCAGCGCCGCTGCTGCAAAGCATGGACAGCGATAATCGACGCATAGTTTACGGCCGATTTGGGACGTATAGCCGACCCAGCTGGTTTATGAGCCGCAGGAAATTGGTAGGCGGGCGGAAATGGAAACATCACCTGCACGGCACGGCATTGACCAATCGCGGGGCGATAACCCCACCGCGTGACCGCTATCGACCGATCGATAATACGCTGGGGTGAGGATCCTCATTTCAACATCCCACAGGAGACTTAGAACTTCCTCAGGACAATCCTGACAAATCCTGACTCTTGAACGTGTCGTTCCGGTACTCACGTTTCATCTGGATGAAGTTGAACTGCTGGATGGCGGCGCGGACGGTGTCCGTCTCCAGACTGAGGTCCAGGTCGGGGTTGATTGGCTGGTCGGTGATGTCGCGACCCCACATCAGGTCATACGAGGCCACTCGGTGGGTCAGCATCTGGCTGATCTGAGGGGACGGAGAATACGGGTCATAAGCGATTTCACGTGGGATAAATACACATTACACAGCCAGACATATCTAACTATTTTCACTTTTTTCAATCATCGAACGATCAACTAACACTGGTCGAATACCTGACGTCAATTCGCAAAGATCAGAAAGCGTAAGCAAGCATACTTAAATGGAGCAATCTAAAAAATCGGTACGCGGGTGCGGGTAGACACTAGACAGCAGCAAATTGATTGAAGTGATGAGGCTGTGACATGTTGACCACCTTTCGCGGTGAAAGTATGACGAGAAAGTGAGAAAAATCGCTGACCAGTGACCACCGTGTCGTCGCCCAATGTTATCAAGTCATCACGCTTCTGACCTGTCTGGCTAGCGTTTAACAACCTGTCAGTGCCCGGCATTCAGTTGTCTATACAACAGTCAGGCTGCTAGATTGCGGTTGTTTTAAAGATAAAACGGGCTATATTTCTTTTACGAATTAGATGTGTTGACAATAGAAAGAACGTTGCGTGCAGGAAGGATTGGCTTCATTGCGGCTTTACATCGTTTTTCAACTGTTTCAGCATTTGTAAACATTTTTAGTTTCGAATGCAGCATGTCTTACCACGATATGAGTCTGATTTTTTTTTAATATTGCTTTTACGACCGATTCTGATGTTTTCAGCTTGACAGGTCTCGTTGCGTCCGTAGTCCCTACGCCTTCCACACGCCGTGTGCTCCACAAATCAGCACTCGGCATTAAACCAAATTAGTACCCGGTCACTTATTCACTCAGCACTCAGTCACTCAGGCACTCAGTCACTCTGTTCTCACCTGCAGGAATGCGCTATCGTCACGCTCCTTCAGCGCCTCTATACAGAACATTAGAAGACCGTTCGTCTGCTGAAGCCGAACGGTCGCCTGTGACACCTGCAGAACAGAAAAGTAGCGTTTGTTGGGTGCCGAAAACGGTGAAAGGTCATGTGCGATAGTCAAATGTCGTAAGTGTGGCTTATGAAGGTAAGAAAGCAATAAACTCCGCCATGGACCAGGTATTGTTTTTCTGCATTCAACAAATTTACGATAGCTAACAAATCATCGATAACGGGAAATCAATTTATTTTCAAGCTATCATATCACCGTCTGAAGGGAACAGCTGCGTCGGTTGCTTTCAATCCATTTCACCTAGCAGTCTGTAAATCTATTACTATCCACTGACTAGTAACTAGCCGTCAGCAGTCGGCCTGACCTGCTGTTTGACGCTCCTGATCTTGTCGTCTCGCGTGCTGTGCAGGTACTGGATCAGCTGATGGCGCCTCTGCTGGATCAACTCCATCAGCTCGTCACACCGCTCAGATACCGTGGCCTCGAACTCGGCGCAGTTGTCCTAAACAGCACGTCACCCGGTCAGGACAGGTCAGTGGCAGCCGGGAGGTCAGGTTAGAGGCAGCCGGGAGGTCAGGTCAGTTGGGGGGAAACGACATATGCATCTTTCAGCTGCAACATATTTGGTAACATATTTTTTATTCATGGAAAACACAATTTAACTTCATATCCTCTCAGCAAAGAATAATGATAAGAAAAAACAAATAAAAAGCTTCTTGGGTTTAAAGATTTTGTTCGTCTATTCTTTCTCTACAATTTTATGCACCACAGAGCAAGGAACTTCCAGGCCCCTGGATGGGTCCGCTTGGGCCCGGTCAGCCGTAAAATAAATTCAGTTTATCCTACCCGGCAGGCAGAAAAGATAGGCAAAATGACACTCATTATTTTCAGTTGCAAATTATCTCCAGGACCCAATACATTCAGTTTAATTTCAGCTCAGTGCATCTGACGGCACAAGAGCCATTTGTTGTGAAGTATGTCCAGCCCACAACAGCTCTGACCGCTGCTGAGACGTCGTCCGTCAAACTCGATTGTTGAAAACAAACTTTAACAGTCGGCGGCCAGGGCCCTGCAGGGTCACTCGGGAGATGGATCTTTACCGATCGCTGTAGCATCGGCTGCAGCCGGGGGGCTGATTTTCTGAAGTGAACTTTTAAATGACACTGACATTGTTTTCCTCGCCGAGACAGCGATTCGTTATAGTTCGTTGAGTTGACAGTCGCTGTTTAAAGCCGGACAGTTGATCTCAGTGAGAAAAAGAGAGCAAAGCAGGACAGAAAACGAAGTCAAGGAAATAATTGGTAAAGCAAGAGAAAAGACGAATGTAACGCGAATGGCGTAACACAGAAGCCGAACATTGTGCTGCGATGGCACGATTAACTTCACGCTCGCTGCTACCTTTGCGAGCGTGACATTGCCTATGTCTGAGCCGGCGGATCGCGCACCACTGACCGGCAGGGGGCTGAACTACGGAATGGGGACGTACCGTGACCACGTCGGCGAGCCCCTTCAGCTGGTGGATGTAGTCGGCGGCCGACTTGGCTCGCTCTGTCAGCTGCTGCAGGTGAAACGACAGGTCCGTCTGAAACAGAGAGAATGGCGAGTCAAACGACGGGTCCATCTGAAACAGAGGGCACTGCGAGCGAAACGACATATCTGTCTGCAAGGAGAGGGAATAGAGAGTGAGACGACGGTTTGCATGAAACAGGGGAAATGGCGACTGAAACGACAGGTCGTGAACTTTATTCTTAACTTTCAATTGAGTTTTCATGGAATATAAGGTGGAAACGAAAGGAGAAGAAGCATATGAATGAGATGGCAGACAAATGACAGGTCAGTCTACGTAAGTGACGATTTGTTGCAAACATCTCAGGTAGTTGAAATACCTATTCGTATGCTGTCTTGAAATATAGGCCTGGTACCTTACATGGACACGTGAAATAGCAGCTCCCTTGAAAACAATCAGAATAAGTGACAACATCTTTCGAGCTGAAAGTGACAGGCAAGCGAAAACGTCATCCGCGCTGTCGTCTGTCGCTTTTGAATCACGCTGCAAAGGACAGTCAGCAGGACGCCACTGGTCAGCGAGGTGACCGGCCCGGCAGGAGACGGACGGTCGTTGAAGTGACGGGCCCGGAGGCACCCCGTCTGAGCAGACCGGCCCGGCGGGACCCACAGGAGACAGATGGGTGTAATCGGCTCGCAGTCGCTCCGACCGAGACGGATGGTTGTGTCGGACGGACCGGACAGCCGCCGTCCATTGCAGCTCGGCCTCTGTGGCCGTCGCCGGCGACCGGTGTACATCGCTAATTGATGCGAATTCCTCGGCGACCCATCCGGAGACCGGCGCGGCGAATTTCAAATTCGTGGAAGGCGCCATGCAATTTGTGGCTGCAAATGTTATCACAGGGAGGGTAAAGGTCGCACATCAGCGTTCTGCTGTCCAGAGGCGTTTCAGGGAATGCTGTGATCATTTCAGACGGCGCCGGTAATGTCGGACTGGCGTCATCCAGAATTTTGATTAGTGTTTCTGGAAAACTTTAAACGTCGTTCCAGCAAAAGTTAGACTTGCCCTTAGGCATATCAAAGGTCAAGGTTTGGTTGATATGGCACAATGCAAAGGCCTTACGAACTGTAGAACAATGTGCATGTCGCCTTGTTAACAGTGAACAGAAGTTAGCGGCGACCTAATGTCAACAAAGGCTCCACCCGACCGGCAAATGTGAAGTGGGCTGCATTGCGTTCTACTAAAAGCTCCACTACAGTTTCACCTGTCCAGAGGTTGCAAGACTGCACTCTAAATGGAATAGTTTTGCTCCTTAACGTCACATACATACACCCACCCTAGACCACTTATAACCAAACGACACCATTACATCCGTCTTGCGCGTTCGAGTAACAATACATGCAAACCATGCTAGAAATCCTTCGTATGTCACGAGTCTCCACTTAATCAGGAACCCTTGCAACTCATGATAAATAATCGTGTGGGCTGACCAAAATGCTCTTCAACCACCTACACGCGTGATAGGCGCCTCATTTTGAGCATCCCGCCTCAGCAAAGATCGTGAGCGGTAACTGGGTCAGCTTATATCCCTTGGGATGCACGGCATTCTCCCGCGGTGAAATATATCGGCAGTTTTGAGCTGTCAACAACTCCAGGGTGGCTGTGGGGCGCCGACCAAAACAGCAATGTAATAACAAACGAACCTGGTCTACGTGCCGAGAACTTCAATCAAAGAACGCCAATAACTAGCGACCATACAGTAAACAAGACATCGCTTCAGCTACCCTGGCGCACAGTCCCTTGGGTGTAGACTGTAGACACCCTGTGATTTTTTTTTCAGTTTACGTAATTCTTAGAAAAAAAACTTCTGTGGGCTGAGTAAAAAAAGTAGAACGAACGAGAAAAACGTCAGATTGTTAAAATCAACGATAAACCGTTGTAGCCAGCACTTTCAGAATTGCATATGCAAAGTTGAAGCTAAGTGTTCTTGATGAATAATTGAAAGCCGTTGTGGCAAACGCGTCTGGCACCTTTCCTCCAACACTCATCGCGCCCGGGGCCGACCCCGAAGACGGCAGCCGACCAGGCAGCGGCAGCGCCGACGGTCGATGCCCCGAGGCACCTCGCGCCGCACGCACACACGCACAGCGCGTGCGGCGCCATAATTCGGCGCCGGGAGACGCGAGCCGACGCGGTGCAGCCACCTCTGGGGCGGCCCGTGTTGACAGAGCGCAGCGCGGCGGCACCAGCGGCGGCGGCGGCGGGGGTGGGGTGCTGCGGCACCTTTGAAGCAGCAGAGGCACGTGGCCCGCCAGCCGCCGTCGGCCGACAGAATCACCAGCTCAGTCAGAGACCAGCGACAGCGGGGCGGAGAGGCCGGCCGAGCCAAGAGCACCTCGCGCTGATGTGTGCGATAACACTCATAATCCGGAAGCTGACGAGTCACGCCGGAGACGGTGCAGCGCCCGTCGTTTGGGGTGTGTTTCTAAGCCGTCTGGTAAAGTAGCTCACGCGTTTTTGCGGCGTAACAGGACGCCGCAGGAAGTGTCGGCGCGGCTACCTGACCGTGCTGGGAGCGGCGTGTCATGGTTTCAGCTGCCGCTGCTGCCCCGCCGTGCTGGTCGGGCTGGGCCGGACCTGCCCGCCGCTCGGCGCTGGCTGCACGGCGGGGGTGCCTGCGTCCCGCTACCGTGCGCCGCTGACCAGCGGGCCCGCTCCTTCCCTGCACGCTGCACAGCTGGAACCCACCTCGTTCATCACACAGGGGTAGCGGCGACCCGCGATCCGGTCAGCAATTTGGCAGCCAGCCTGGAAGGGCAGGGCTGCCCCTGTCGGAGCTCTAATGTCACCTGATGACCGTACAGACCGGGGCAAACGGTCCACGTAGACCATAAATATTTCACGTGTACCCCCGCACTTGCAAACGACCCGGTAGCGTGCAGCACTAAGAAATGACTCAGATTCACAGTCGCCTATTCAATATAGATGTGAAATGGCTCGCTCGCGTGTGGTGCTGTATCAAACGGCGCATGAAACCCTTGACCGTCCCCTTCCATTGCCGTTCTGTCTCGTCTTTCAACGGTTATTGCGCGCACGCCTGTATTACATGACCGTATGTCAAAGGTGGTATGTCAATCATGGAAAAGCTCATGCAATTGGACACAGAAGTGCAGCCGGTTGCGAACACGCTGATTTAGGTAATATTGGGTTGAATTAAAACATTTAAGTTTTAGCATAAAACAATGTGAGAATGAACGCCAAATTTATCTCAATTATGCCTTTTAGCTAGGTGCCGTAAATAACAATATAGATTATCGTCCGTTAATATCAATTTAGGTGAGTTCGGGGGCACATCTGATCAGCCCCAGATCACGTCATATATCCATCCCGATACCGCTGGCATCCCCTGAGAGCTATCGGCTACCGAAAAATACGACTGCCGCCGTGGCGCACGCGATAAGCGTGGATGCGTGCACACGCGTAATGGCGGTAGATACACAGGAGATTACCCTCCTGCCCCCGGTGAGTGATACACCCTCTCATCTATCGAGCAGCGTATATACAATATACGCGTGGTGCTGAGCCCCCGAGCCGCCGTTATCCTGGCAGCGATCGACCTGGCCAAGACAGGGGCACGCAATCTAGCAGCGCGTTCAGAAGAGTGCCCCTGGGAGGCATGCATCGACGCTGGACGTCACTGGATTCCGCTGGACTCTGCTAGGCTCCGCTGGATACTCCTGGACGCTACTAGATACTGCTGGACGTTCGCTGGAAGGCGTCCTGATATCAGAGCTGAACAGTGATCAGCCTGTTACCGACCGTTCTACTTCAGCGAACAGCCAGACGTGCTTGGTGGACCTCGGTGATGGACTGAATTCAATAAGGGCACAAAATCCAATAAGGCAGAAATTCAGACTGCAGAGCTCGAGTTTGTGTTTCAAGAATGAAGACAAAGAGTCGATAGTGCTGTGAACAATGATGTGATAACGCCTACCCAAAGACACGTGCTAGACTAGAGGAACGAACGGAAGCCTAAAGGACCTAAAGGACTGCACGATCCAATGGAAAAAGAAATGCCGCCTATCTGTCCAATGCTCAAGTCACTAAAGTCGCCCGGAAAGTAGCCTTTTTACGAATTCTATAAAATCGAATTCTGCCACAGCATCCGTATCAGACCAAGAAGTTAGAACATCAACTATGTGTGATGGGGGCGGGGAGCGAGCTCGTTCGGTTCTGACTTCTTGGGCAAATCGATTAGACTTTTACGTATCTGCCACCCTCATCCGGCAGTCCTGCGTCTCCGGTATTCTCTCCGCTCCAGCCATCAGCTTCAGCCCGCAGCTCTACCCCTCAGGCCCGTCCAGCCCTCAGCTATAGGTCTCAACTCTATGCCTCAGCCCAGTCCAGTCCTTAGTCCCAGCCGTCAGCTCCATCCATCATCCTCTTCCAGCCCGCAGCCCTCAGCCCTCAGCCCCGTTTCCAGCCAACCGGATGGGCTGTGACGGCGCGGCTGAGCCCATCGCGCTGAGATGAAGTGCGCTCCGGCGCCGGTCGGCTCGGCGGTCGGACCTCACTGACGGGCCGCGTGAGGGCCGTTAATACGGCGCCGCTACCTGACTCCTAAAGAGATGGCGGTTTGGAGATCGACTGCAGGCTGGTCCAGATTAAAGTCTTGAAGGAGCAGGTGACAGGGTCGCTGTTCAATGCCCTCGTGTCAATGGTGGAGCACTTTAGTATTGAGGAATAAGATCGTAAATGTTATTTGTTGGCAGTCGTTTGATTTGTTGTCATAATGGGTGGACATTAATGCATGGATGTTTTTTTCTGATATGATAGCAATGGCCTTGCGTGCTGCCTAAATAGCTAATAAGAAACTGCAGACGTTTATCCAGAATAGCAATGAGCGAAAGATTGAGTTGCTGTGAATATATAACGAGTATCAATCCATAGTTTCTGGAATTGATTTGGACGGGTAGTGCGTCTGGTCTGGACTGCAGAGCCCAGATTTTAGCGAAACGCCGGATATCGACATTTACAAGTCACCAGCAGCTTATAATAAGATGAAAGGTACAAGA